CGAATTTCAAATAGAACCACGAATTTACCATCGACATCAGTGAAAGAGGAAAATTTATATATCTGTATACGAGAAAGACAAGATGCGTGCACATGTAGATGACAACGCACTGTTGGCGGGGTTTAGTGCGTGTAGATGAGCACGTGCATTTCAAGTGGGGGACACGCGATCACGAAACTTATCGAATCGACTCAATGCAGGTGACTGCACGAAAGAATACGTGATAGATCTGACATGATTCGTATGACAAATACGGAGAATACAACATGTTTATAATTTCCAGGTATCCTATTTGTTATTTTACCGTAATGAATAGAATCAAAACAATGTTATTTTGAAATAAAATTTGTATAATTTTCCTAAATATCAAGGTTACTTTAAAAGAACATACACAATGGACTGTAGATTTAACTCTTAAGATAAAGACTATTACAATGCTAAGTTTTAACAGAAAGCTTTATTTGACTTCAGTTCTGATGTATCTTAGGTCGAAGATAAGTTCCAATTAAATAGGCGAACAGCATTCTGCTTCGGGTATGTCTTATGTTAATTTTCTGTATTCAGGGTCATCGTCGACTTGGGTTAGAGCGGCTCTTTTTATCATTTATACGTAGAAATTTTCTTTATTAGAAAGAAGTAGTTTCAACAATTTATTACTTGATTTATTGATAAAAATAACATTAATTCATAGGGATAGATCCGCTACGAGCTGTTAAGTATTTTCGAGCCTGGAGAAAATTTACCAGCTTCCCCTTTCGATGTATTAATTTCATATTTGTAGATCTTACTACTTTTTAAATTTTTATTTACAAATCTCACACGAGCGTAAGCTACAAAAAGCAACGAATGGATAAAGAGCAACAATGAGGATAGTGATAAGAAAATATTAATGATTGATTGGATTCGATTCACACAGAATGTATCTAATGATCTAAATCATTGCTTAACAAAAGACATAAGAAGTAATCACACAATAGGCATGAATAAAAACAGAACAAGCTATAGGAAAAAAAGAAACGAATCGGGCTTCCATTTGCACAAACTAGATGCTAATTACAGCTAAAGATAATAATGAGTTATTATTTGTCGTCTTGATAAATAAATAAAGATAGAGGACAATTCAAAAATAGTTTATTATAAATGAGGTCAAGATAACTTAAGTTTAAGTTATATAAATGAGAATAAATTAAAGATTATCCAATAAAATGAAATTAATTGCTTTTTTATTCAAACTATAAATAAAGGAAATACATTCTTTTAATTTTAAATAATATTCGATATTAGGAAATTAAATGGCTTCAAGATTTATGGTGGGTTTTTTTTCATTTATTCAGAAGTAATTTCTCATTATAGATTCAGTTTTATAAATAGCAATAATAGTTAATTAATTAATAATCAACTTAAATTACAAATTATCTAATATTAGAAAAATTTAAAACATGTGTGCATTGTATATTTTAGTTTTATATCGTAAATAGTTTCAGTGATTTTTTTGTCATATCATTTATTATCAAAACGAATTTTCTTAGATTTGGATCTGCACAACACACCTTTAGTAGTTTGAATCTACACAAACACACCTTGTTTAAAAAGATTCCAGCACGAAAAATGGCCTTATGTACTGTACTGTACGTACCATATAGCATGAAGTCATACACTAGTGCTTTCAAATGTTTCGGACGCCCATCTTGTATGATATACCCATACTTTTATAACCTTTGTTTGTTATCGTTGCAAATTTACAGTAATTTTAAATTTCTCCCGGAGATTTATTAAACAGATAGCAAAAAACTTTCTAACGTGCGATTTAAATTGAAAAATCAATTTGCGAATATGATAAATTCGCTTTCCTCTGTACAGAATTGAAGCCATGTATACTACAGAAGAAGTTTATATTGCTAAATAAATAAACATTTCGACAATTTAAAAGAAAGTTTATAATTTTATAAAAATCAAATTAATTATATTATAATAAAAAGAAAATAATTGAATAAATACGTGATTAATTTGTTTTAAAGTTAATTCTGAGAATTTTTATTTAATTTTTATTCGTTTACAACTAAAATGCAATTTTATAGAAAATTTTTCTTGAAAATCTGATAAAAATCTTAATGGAAAACTACAATAAAGATACGAGATCAATCTACATAAATGACACATATATATATAAAATATATGCTTAATATATTAGGCTAATTATAAATTATATACACGTTTTTTTTTTTTAAATTGTCCTTAAAAATGTACCTAATTTTAAGGACAGCCAATTTACTTATATCTAGTTTTTGCATACGTAAGTACTCGAGTATCTGCAAGAAATGTTAAACTATTTAGATGATTTTCCTTGCTAAAAATTAAAGTTTTGACATATACAAATTTATTCTAATTTCAAAAATAAACTTTTAAACAATGCGATAAAGAAAGCTGATAATCATTTAATATCATAATTTATAACTTTCTCCAAGGAAAAGAAACACTTAGCAATCTAGATCAATAAATAAAGTATACGTTGATTTGTAAATACTTTATATAAACTTAAAATCTATTGAGTTTAATGAATTAAAATTTTTCTCGAAAATTTAAATTATCTTAAAATGTTATTTTGAAGAATTATTCTTTTATTTTTAACAAATTCGAAACTTATTTATTTATATCTTTATACAGAGAATAATAATACGTTAATTGGTAAGATAAATGTAGAAAATGTTAGAAAAATTAATCAAATGTGTACACTATTTAATAATTAAACTGTTAATTTACGCAAATTAATCGTTTAATTATTAATTTAGTGTTAAATTTATATTTAAAAAAAAAAAGCTATTTTCATTTCGTATTTTTTTTTCTATGCATTTCGCTTTAAAATACAGATTTTTGCATGTAAATTTACGTGTTATATTCTTACTATAAATAACTAAAAATATTTTCTAAACGAATTCGATTGTTTAAATCGCAAATATGTACAAGCAATGAAGATGGATCGCATTTTCCTGGAAAGCACTAATATTTTATTTTACTATATNATTCTTTTTTTTAAAAATTCTAAATGATCTATTTGCATTTCTATTTTTAAAATGTATTTTTAAAAATTATTTATAGATTAACAGTAGACTATACTTTTTTAGTTTAAATACATGCATAAATGTTTAAGATAATATTTAATCGTTTAACGTATTGTAAATTAAAAATTTTTTTATTTGATTCGTTTATTTTCAATTATATTTTTGTAATTAAAGTTCAAGCTGTCTGTATGTTCGAATTCAAGTGAATTGGTGAGGCATTTTGTAGAATTCATAGTATCTAATGCCGTATCGTATTTCGTTGGGATAATTTGAACATCGCTTTTAGGAAAGAATGGAAGACCGTAGACCATGTGCATGCATGTGCGGAGTTCATTCTGCCATGAACACTCATGGCTGACTGAGACAAAGGTATATACTTCTCCTGACCCACTACAAGCGTGTCAGGAGGGTTAATATCTATTCTTCCCCTTGACTGTCACGAAATCGTTGTGGTTTCAATGGTGAGGCAGGAAGCAACGTATGTCTCTGGAATACGGAATGACGTTTCGATAGCTATTTGTTCACCTGACCTTCGCTATCTCCCCGATTGTGAGTGGTATTAAGACAGTTGTCGCCGGTTGCTGTTGCCGAAGGCTATCTGGTCGTTTTATGCACTCCTATTAATAACGACAATTCTTATCGTGACAGAGACGGTTGCAAATGAGATACAATGCGTTACTAGCTTATTTCTACTTAAGGGTGTAACTAAGTGCAGTGGCTCGATGTTAAATACCATTTAAAAGTCTTTTTTGTTAAAGCGTTTCGGTTAATTAGATGTGTTCATCTTTCTACCATAAGAATGGTGGTTTAATAATCAATAGAATCGATTCATTTAGTAACATTGTTTGACGCCCATTCACGAAAAACGAGATTTTCGTGGATCATAAACAATTTCCTTATTGGATTCTTTAATAAAGAAACAGATTTATGAGTTATATAGTCCTATAGCAAACATCGTTAAATATATGATACTAGTTGTGAGCAGGAAAGGGTGAAGAACAATTTATCTTTTTTTTCCCTCCTCCTCCGAAAATGCCAGAGTTGAGAGGAGGTGGATTCAACGAACTAACGTATTTATGACCCGTTTTGTATGGCGATTAAATGTATCTTATAATACTGCAACGAGATATGTTCGTACAATTAAGCCGTTATCTTCAACTTTTTAGGGCGGGGATTAAAGAAATATAGAGAGTTCACTTCATCTTTAGTGGGGTATGTAATATTAGTGTCAAATGATGTCTTTGTTTTTTATTACATCCATTCATTTAATCTCAAAAATTACTTCAGAAAAAGAATTTAGTAATTATAAGTTAAATAACGCATTTCTAACGCTAGCTTATAAAGATGTTACTTTTTTTTCCTGTTATTCATTTAGATGTTCACTTCGTTTAAGTCAAAAATTTGATAGATGTCCTGTTATGAGAAAAATACGGCCCACTTAACCCGTGCGATGCGGATGAAAAGCAGATTTCCAAACAATGCTTGAAGTCATTAAGACATATTACCTGTGGAGTCAATAGTAATCGACTTTGCCGTATTCCATCATATTGAAGGTAGTTGCTGTCAATAGCAGCACGCTAGCTATCAGATTTTCTATGTTAGAATGCAAAGAGAGTTGTTTTATATTCATTTTTTTTTAAACAAAGACTTTGTGACCTTCCTAACAAATACGCGATCGTTTACGTTATAAGTTATCTTAAATTATTCTTTTAACGAAATTATAGAATGCTTTATCATCATAAAAGATAGAAATAGTGTCTAAAATGTTTGTTGTTACGAATGTAAATGCGATAATGAATCTGTAAATCAGTTTTATTACTTGTAAAAATGAGTATAGTTAGAAATATATCATTCATTTAAAATGAGTCTAATGAAGATTTTTTCCTTGTTAGAAGTCGCTATTATATATGTTAAGGATCTCTTTTATGGCTATTCTTATATTTTCCAAAAAGGGTAAGTTCCTTTACAAATGTGAAACGCGGAAACTTCCAATGAATGGCTTGGAGTTAACAACAGAGTCGAAATTTCCGTCTAACTGGTAAGGCGACAACTAAGTAATATTTGTGGCGTCATTGTCGTATTCAGCCAGGCATGTCCTGAATAAGTGGGTTATTAATTAAACTAGTTATCTCCAGCACGACACCGTGTCCTTCATTTGTCATTAGACACGTGAAAAGGCGTGGTTTACGACTATTTCTTACGACGCCAATTCATTTAATTTTCGAAACATACTTAAAAGAATTCATTTTCGTATAAGGTGCTTAATAGTGTTATGAATTCATCAAATGATTTTCTTTTTCAGGTAAATCGTCCATTGACAATGAAAAAGGAAGGAATTCAAACTCGCAATCGTAAACTATCTTCGAAGAGCAAGAAAAAGAAGGGATGCGGGATCGCTATCCCAGAGTGTATAAAACCGCTCGATAAACCGTTTTCCAGCTTCACGCCTACCGGACAATTAGCATCATCAATGTCCTCGATGTCGTCGATGTCTGTCACCGTTAATCATTACATGCATCAAGGCAACATGCCCATATCCATGGCAGGTTCGTTTGTAACATCGCCACCAATGCACATGAATACCGCACCCGGATTATCCACATTACCGCTTCCATCCGGAGGACCTTTGCAACTAGGTACCGGTGGTCTCGGACTCGCCACTTCCAACAGTATGGTAGGTGCCATGGCCTGACTGATGCCGGAAAGATTGCATCACTTAACATGATGCGATTGTGATTAATAAAGCTAACGACTTATAAGTGGTGGTAAAATAAACTTGTGAATGAATGTAACGGACTCCTGCAAAACTGAACAATGCGGGTCTCTTTCTTCCTACCACCGGCAACATATACTGACGATGCCATTTGTACATCCTCCTCCGTATTAATTTCTTCTTATCGAAGACATTTCGTGTTGTATGTGCATCAAATCTTCGTAGGTCTGGAAACTGACGACAATAGCAAATTTAGCATCGTCTTCCTCACACTTCAAACTTTTTTGAATTTTTTTTTTTGTTTTGTTTTTTGTGAATATGACCGTTTATGGAAAAGGGGATTCTTTCGCTCTATAATTCATGCTTTAACAGAATTTTTCAAAAAAGTGAACTCGCATCTCTCAGTGCCAAAATCAAAGAGGGACTTTTTCATTTTAGTCTATCGATTGACATTACAACGAGACGGGCTGGACTCGCCCAAAAAACTTAACCTTTACGTCGACGGGTGCCGGTCAGAACCTCATACAAAATATTCATTCATTCTTACTATTTTTCCTTCTCGAAATGGAAGTGACAAAAAAAAAATAACAAAAATATAACAAAAAATCATCCGTAACGATTTAAGCGAAGACGATGGAGACGGAATAGCGTGTACATAACTATTACTACTGGTGTCGTAGAACTATTGTAAAAACTGTCCTCAGTCGTCCACGTTTCTATGTAGGCCTATAAATGCATGTCTTTAGTGTTCGATCGCTAATAACTGATTTTTCCCATTTCCCCATCTACGTGTCGGGCTGATGGTTTTCTTTTTTGTTTTGTTATCTGGTCGCCCGCCAAGTGGACAGAGGAAAGCGGGATACAGGGACAGATCTCTTTACTTCGGAGACAGGGAAGGTGATTTTTCAAGATAAATACATCTAGAGGAACGCTCGCTTGGAATAGAGCTTTTGGATGCATGTTCTGCTTTTGTTTTCATGATTTTTCCATACTGTTCGTATGTGCGTTTGAATAATATATAGTGAGAAAACGAGATTTCATTCAAGGCACGGGTGTAAATAATGTTCACAGCACGGAAATAAAATCATGTAGAAGGATTGTCTCCCATTTTTGCAGAATTGTTTGATTCTACTCTTTAAAAACTCTCAGTTCATTTTTTTTTAATTGCTTAAATTATTTCATTTCAAAATTAAACAAATTTCCAAAAATTATTTTATTTGAAGTTTGTTTTATTTACAAGAGATTAAAAAAAAAACTATTCAAAAATGTAACTTAATTAACCAACCAATGAATAAATATGTATATTTTTTTCCCTTGGTAATATTTCTCACAAGTAAATGTTATTTTTTAAAATTTATCGTTTAATTTTAAAATATTTTTTAGGTGATATATCTTCAAGCTTTTGTATTGGTTTTACTGATGGGAAAACTAATGAGGAAAGTGTTTTTTGGTCAGTTGAGAGCTGCGGAAATGGAGGTTAGATTGTTGTTTTAATATTTGTAAAGCATAAACATAAATTTATACTTTATCTTTATGAATTCAGAACCTTACTTTAGTCAATACTGTTTTCGTAGTATTGCATATGTCATATCTATGTTTAGTGTGGGTATGCATCAAACTTAGCAGCAAACAGATCTTTTCGTTTTAAATGTTTGAAAGTTAGAATCAATTGCACATTAGATTAAAATAAATATGGTAAACTAGGGGAAAAATTATTCAAATCTCGCAGAATTGTTTTATATTGTATAATAGACATGAATAAATAATTAAAACTTATTAAAATATGAAATGAACTGTAACTATTGATAATAAATGTGTATGCATACTCTATATCTAAAAAGTTAAAGTCCCAATAAACATAGGTTATAAACTTATAAGAAAGAAGTTCAAGCCTGTTTTATTTTCTTATATCAAAGATGATAAAAGTGATTGCCTATGGTCCATTAAAAAAACATTCAATTTTTTAAGGACCTTTGAGGTGTTACAATTTTAAATGGTCTTCACACTGTTATGTAGATCTTTGATACATTTGAATTTACAGTATTGTCTGGCTTAGAATGGTGCTGACTTTACATATCTTCCTTAGGCATGAAAATAAAATAAGCTCTAATTCCTTCCCTGTGGGTTTTATGACTTGTTTATTAGGACTTTTAGGTTTAGATATAGATTGTGTGTGCGTGTTTATTACTAACAGATCTGTCTCAGATAATTAAATTATTTGTATAGGGTAAACTCTGTACAGATAATTTAAATATCTGAGATTGATGTGCTACTTACAATTCATTATGTGAACAATTAAAAGAAATACTTATAATAATGTAAGAAAATAAATTTATCTTTCTATATACAGGATGATTCAAATTAAAGTTACCTTATTCAGCACCTAATGCAGAGAGTGGGTGAAATGTGAAACTTTGTTAAGTTCGATTTGTACATGTTTCAGACTGTGAGGAAGAGATTTATGACAAAAAAGTTTAAAAATTGCCTCTGATGATACTAATCACATGCAGTCTGTCAGTTAAATTTACAAAAAACTTTGTACTCAACTATAATTAGCTTATTCAGGCATAGACACTTATAAGAATTTAGTTTAGTTTAAAAGTTAATGAATTTTTTTAATGATTAAAATGTTATTTTTAATTATTAATTGAATTATTTTTTGACTATTTCTTTGTTTTTTCAGCATCTTATAGAAAGATCATGGTATGCAGTTACTGAAACATGTTTAGCTTTTACTGTGTTCCGAGACGATTTCAGTCCGAAATTTGTAGCATTGTTTACTCTGCTACTATTTTTAAAATGTTTTCATTGGTTGGCCGAAGATCGAGTTGATTATGTAAGTAAAAGATTTTTCATAGTGACGTAAAAGTTAATTTTTTTTAATGGACACTATAATTAGTAATGTAAACTTGCATCATTTGAACATAATTATCATAAATCATTAATTCATTAAAATTAAAATGTCTATGTTAATTGATCTTTGTATAATAATAAATCTAATAATTATATGTTTCTCAGTTATGTTTTTTTTTTTTTTTTTGCAATTATATGTTAAATATTTTCTGCACAGTACTTTCTCCATTATAAAACTCTTCAGTTATATATTTTTCATTTATATGATTTTGCACTTACAAATAATACTTTTTTGGTACCCTAAAATACTGATTTCTTACTTATGTGTTCACTTTGAAATGGAAAAATTCAAAGTGAATATTAAAAACAGTGAAAAGTGAATTGTGTGTGTATTCACTTCTGCTTAGTATTCACACGGACAGCAAATTACTAGCAAATGTGTTTAGTTGTGCAGAGTGTAATAGTGAGGTAAGGAAAAGGAACTGCTTGGTTGGAATAGAGTTTAATATAAACTATACACAGTAGACATACAAAAGAACAAGATCTACATAGAACAGGGTCTTCTTGTATATGGAACAATTCTAAGTACCATTTGAAATGTTCCTAGGAGAGTGCCACTATACTCTCACCAACAAAATGCAAAAAGCAAAGCAAATAATATGTAACGTGTGCCATTTATGACAAGTTGGGAGTTTAGCAAATTGGTCTGCTAGTCCAACACATTGAAAATTTTTGCTTTCCATTTATTGCAGTGTAACCAATTATGCTAAATGAATAAAAATCACTTTTGGTTTTTCATTCATTTTCACTATTCACTGTCAGTATAAGCTAATCTTTAGAATGACTTCATTTGTCACATGACTGGAGTTTTGGCAGAAAGAGACAATTGATGTCCCATACTGTATCAGTATGTGAAAGTCCATTGAAAAAACATGAAACAAAAATTGATCAATTTTTTAAAAGTACATGACTTAATTTCATACTGTTTTACTATTCCTTTTAAATGTTGTTCAAAGATAGAAATTTCGATTTACTATAATGTATATGTTAAGAATTACACTGTGCTATGCCATACTTTTGTATTGACTATATTCACTCTGAAGGCAATTAAAAGTTGCATCACTTGTATATTTTCTTTCTTATTTTTCTCAGTTTCCTTGAAAAAACGTAAACGGAGTTCAATATATGTTAAACAAATCTAATAATTATATCTTTCTCAGATTGGCTGATTAAAATTATCTTACAATATATAATGAACAATGATTTTATTTATGTGTTTTTTCATTGAAAAGTTTTAAATTATAACTGAGTAAATTTAGGAAGTATTATATTAAAAATGGGGCTGCATTTTGAAANATTCTACGAGTCGATGTATATATATATATATTTTTTATTATTATTCTCTTATTGAAAACCATAAATAGATTCAAAGGTCGCGTAAAATTAATATAGCTTAAAATAGGTTTATTTATTCTACAACATTTAGAATCAAATCTTATAGAATAGAATTAGACTTAATTTTTACATAAATATGTGAAAATAAATCGCTTCGAATTTCAAATAGAACCACGAATTTACCATCGACATCAGTGAAAGAGGAAAATTTATATATCTGTATACGAGAAAGACAAGATGCGTGCACATGTAGATGACAACGCACTGTTGGCGGGGTTTAGTGCGTGTAGATGAGCACGTGCATTTCAAGTGGGGGACACGCGATCACGAAACTTATCGAATCGACTCAATGCAGGTGACTGCACGAAAGAATACGTGATAGATCTGACATGATTCGTATGACAAATACGGAGAATACAACATGTTTATAATTTCCAGGTATCCTATTTGTTATTTTACCGTAATGAATAGAATCAAAACAATGTTATTTTGAAATAAAATTTGTATAATTTTCCTAAATATCAAGGTTACTTTAAAAGAACATACACAATGGACTGTAGATTTAACTCTTAAGATAAAGACTATTACAATGCTAAGTTTTAACAGAAAGCTTTATTTGACTTCAGTTCTGATGTATCTTAGGTCGAAGATAAGTTCCAATTAAATAGGCGAACAGCATTCTGCTTCGGGTATGTCTTATGTTAATTTTCTGTATTCAGGGTCATCGTCGACTTGGGTTAGAGCGGCTCTTTTTATCATTTATACGTAGAAATTTTCTTTATTAGAAAGAAGTAGTTTCAACAATTTATTACTTGATTTATTGATAAAAATAACATTAATTCATAGGGATAGATCCGCTACGAGCTGTTAAGTATTTTCGAGCCTGGAGAAAATTTACCAGCTTCCCCTTTCGATGTATTAATTTCATATTTGTAGATCTTACTACTTTTTAAATTTTTATTTACAAATCTCACACGAGCGTAAGCTACAAAAAGCAACGAATGGATAAAGAGCAACAATGAGGATAGTGATAAGAAAATATTAATGATTGATTGGATTCGATTCACACAGAATGTATCTAATGATCTAAATCATTGCTTAACAAAAGACATAAGAAGTAATCACACAATAGGCATGAATAAAAACAGAACAAGCTATAGGAAAAAAAGAAACGAATCGGGCTTCCATTTGCACAAACTAGATGCTAATTACAGCTAAAGATAATAATGAGTTATTATTTGTCGTCTTGATAAATAAATAAAGATAGAGGACAATTCAAAAATAGTTTATTATAAATGAGGTCAAGATAACTTAAGTTTAAGTTATATAAATGAGAA